TGAAAAGGACGTAAAAAGAAGACATTGAAAAGGGTAAAAGAAGGCACAATATTTGGCTGCTTGTATTGTGTAAAAGAATATATAGAAAGATTGCAGAGTTACCATCGCCTCTTCATTTACTTCTATAACAATGGCATTTTGTTGATTTTTTGAATAATTTGAGCAAAAACTAGATAATTGGAAAAATGAGTGGGGACTTTGGAATTGAGGGTACGTATATGTATAGATGCAAAGGAAATAACTGACTATGAGTTATTTAACGCATTAAAGGAAGAAGCTATAGAGGACAGAGAAACCAAAGGAAGAATAATAGCGTTACAGTGGAGATCGAAGGAGGGAGATGAAAGTTTGGAAGAGATGGGCAAATTTGGTTAGTCAAAACGGCGTGTTTCAAGCCTTGGGTTAGGTTAACCCAAGGTTATGTAGTGAGTTTCACATTTATATTATTTTATTTAAAACCGTAGCTCCAATTTGAAAAGGGTGAGAACATATCTAAGTTTGTAAACTGGGGTGTTTGAGGTACAAAGGTCAAAATTAGGGTGATTTTACAACAAGTCACAAAATTCAGGTTATTTTTATAAATTTAGCCATTTAGGAATCTCTTCAAACTAGTTCTAATTTGCCAAATTTCAATAATTTAGAGATTTTCACATTCTTTCTTTCACTATTGCTATTATTGATTTATTGTTTATCTTCTCTCTATCTCTCTCTCTCGATGGCAGTAGCACAATAGCAACAAGTAGCTTCATAGACTCAGTTCTGTCAAGGCAAATGCAATTGACTCCATTTTCTTCTTCTTCTTCTTCTTGGAGTGGATCATGAGCAATATAGAAATCGTTATCTATTTTTTGTAGAACCGTACTTTCTTTGAGATGTGAAGCTGTTTCTCCAGAATATAGAGTAGCTACCTTTTTAATTTTATTCACTTTTATGTTCTGCGTTATTTTAGTAATTATTTATTTTTGTCATATTTGAAGTTTTATTATATTTAGAGCATGAATATATATAGAAAAAATAAAAATAAAAAGAAAAAGTTAAAATTTTTAATGCTCTATTAGTTGAGTAATATAATAGTTCTTCTTGTTTGATTTTTTATTTCTTAGGTTTTAGGGATACAGACATGAAAAAGTTGAAATATGAAAGAACTGAGAAGTCGGCAAAGGTATCATATGGCACAAAGAGATAAGAGGAATAAGAATAAATAATTCGCCTTACTCATTCACTTTTAACTCTGTTTGTAGAAGACGCCTCTTATCAAGTTAGAAAACGGGTATTTTGTAAGTTTATATATAAGATGATGAGTTTTTTTTGTCAAAAATGGTGAAATATGGGCAAATTGTAGATTGAGTCTAAAAATATGTGTTTTTGTCAAAATTATAGTTCATTTGCATTTTCCTGAATTTGTATGTGCATGCTAAATTCCAACATTATTTTCTTTTATCTGTTTTAAAGTTAAGTTCAAACCTATGGTAAAGCAATATGAAAATAACTATACCGAGTAACAAATTTTCCTGCCGTACTCCACCCAGATAACATTCCAAATGCTGGAAAATCACTGATGGTCCAAAGCAAAGCAGCTCGCATTATGAAATTCTGATTGGTTGAAATATCGAAGTTTCACCCATATTCCCATAAATAATTAAGTTCGGCAATTAAAGCTCCACGACAACACATCAAATTTTATGTTTCGGGACTTAGTAGGGCAGGAACAATAACTATCACAAAAACAATATATTCATCTTCATACACATTTATTGTGGTAGATTATTGGTGTGACAAGACTGGCCATTGATGGAATTATTTGTTGTCCTGAATTTGCCAAAACGGCTGAAAAACGGCTGAAACCCATCAGTACAAAGCCCAATCTCACGTTTCTCATATCAGCAGCAAACACAGGATGAATGTTATCAAAATGTTTCCACGCTTCAGAGTCAGGCGGGCTGGAGCGGCGTCAGGAAGAGCTAGAGCGGTGCTGCGAACGGAGGACAGGAGAGGAGGAGGAGAAGAAAGAAAAAAGAAGAAAGAAGAAGGAGGGCGTCTGGCGTTTAAAGCCCGAAATTTTGCAACCGAAAAATTTCATTAATATCGGTCGCAAATTTTAACTCTGTGAAGTCGTTTTACTTCGCAATAAAATTGCGACCGATTTGAGACTAAATGTGTCGGTCGCAATTCAGTCGCCAATCGGTCTCCGAACTTATTTCTAATTTTGAAGCGCACAATGTTGCGACGGAATAAAAGGTAGTCGCTAATCGGTTGCAAAATCAGTCGCAAATCCGTAGTACAGTGGTCGCAAACTGAAAAACAAACTCGCGGAAATTTTTAGGGCTGCAATTAGCGACTGTTTGTCCATAGGTCGCAAATCGGTCGCAAAAATCGGTTGCAATAACGCGCTTTTTCTGTAGTGAAAGTCAAAAAAAAAAAAAATTGTACACATATTTGACGTACAATCCAAAATATGAATAGATAGTTTTTCTGTCCAGACGCTAATTTAGAGTAAAGAAATGCAATATTTATATATATAACCTTAATTCTCACATTCAATATAATCAATCTCTAAAGGAAAGAAACCCTAGACACAATTAACCCTTCTCTAAAAGTGTCTTTAAATGCTTAGAAGCTATATTGATGTATCATTATTTTATTTTAGTTACTTCTTTTTTTTTTTTTGAAACAAAATGCAAAGTTTAATGTATAGAAAGAATCAAAATGGTAGATCACAAATAATACTTAGAGGGACTGGACCTCACTCTAAATAATCCAGACATAAAAACAGCAGCTCGAGTTTAAAAAAAGTAACACACTGAAATAATGTCGCTTAATTTTAATTTTTTGACAAAACGAACAACTAACTGAGTGAACTCATTAATAAGAGTTCGACAGTCAAGAATCAAAATACCCAAATAAGAATTATCCAACACAGGTTGTTCGCTAGCATGTGTTACCATTAAACAATCACATTCCATCCCACTCGCATAAGCCATCCTTTGTCCTTTAGCCAACTTAGAGCTTCTCTTACACCAATAAGCTCTGCCATAGTTGGGCCTGCCATACTAGAAACGGGACAACACTTTCCACCAATACACCTACCCATATCATCACGCAAAATCCATTCGAAACCTGCCTTTCTCGTGTTTAAGTCCCAAGCAGCGTCAACGTTGAGTTTAAAATTGCCAACTGCAGGAAGCTGCCATTTGGTTATATATACATTCCGAGCTTGCTGACGTAAACCCATTTTTGCAGCCAACTACTCCTGCTGCGCCAAGCTAACTTGTCTCTGTATGCCAGCTGCATCAACCCCTTAGCTGCATCAACCCCTTTATGAGCCCAAATATTTTGATTTCTGTTATACCACAATTCCCATGCAATTAGAAAGCAAGTATTCACGTATTCCTGACGACATCTGGCTAAGAGTTCCACAACCCAGCTTTTCACTGATAAAGGCCCACTCCACCACCCAACCTCAGAGTTTCACCATACTGCTTCCGCCACCAAGCATTGCCAAATTACGTGCAGCTCAGTCTCCTCATGATAACCACATAAAGGGCATATTACACCAACAGGGACCCTTCGTTTTTGCAAATTAACAAGCACAGGAATACAACCCGATATCAACCTCCACAAAAAAATTTTGATCTTACTTAAGCTATCCAATTCCCGTTCCACACTTATTTTTATTCTATTACTTAAGCTATATTTTTATGATTATTTAAGCATTTGAATAGATAGATTTCTATTTAATAAATAAAAGCGTATTTGACAGTAATTACTTATAAAAAAAATTAAAATAAGACAATTTTAATAGTTTAATGAAATGATATCTTTCTAAATAGTTTTTTCTTACATCTGTTCTTTTAAAAAAAAAAATCCCAAAAGATATCTTATATTTTTCTTTTATATTTCAAAATAAAATCAACAAAAACAAGGAAAAAAATGAAATGAAGAAAGAAATATCGCAATTTAGAGAAATGAATGGAGTAAAACAATTAAGTAAAATAATTCATTCTATATTTCTACAATGCAATGAATTGTGGTTGAATATATAGTTTAGGAATACCCAAAAATTACCAAAAAAAAAAAAAAAAACCGATTATTGTGTAATTAATTGGTCCAATGTCTTTCTTAAATTGATCTATTAAATTTAATTTTTGTGATCCTCATTGTCATATGTTTGATTCCACTTTATTTTTTAATTTGAAATTTAATTTGTTTTATTTTTTTACTTATTTTTTTAGTCTGCCACTCGTTTCCCAATAAGAAGTTTACAGAAATAGATGCAACACTTAATTTTATTGTATTTCACAACAAATTGAAGAAATTGGAAAAGTAAAAATTTGCAGGAACCCCGAGGATAATCTTCAATCACAAACAAAATTTTTTTTATCAGGAAAATAAAATTTCTTATGATTATAAAGAAGAGAAATTGAGAAAAAGTTTAAGAATTCAGGGAATTCATAATTCAGCATGGGCTTCTCAACACACCTAAATTAAGCCTGGAATTAGTTAAATTAAAAATCCAAAAAACAATTGTAGTAGAGCTTAATGCCTTCACTCTTGAGCTAGAAGAACGAACAAACATAAAATTTTTACTCATATTTTTAAAAATAAAATGTAACCTATTCATAAAAAAGATTTTTTTTTATTTTTATTTTAATTTCTTGAAGTAGGCTAGACGCCCTTCAGCACACCAAACTCTGCCGCCTGTGCTCAATTGAATTAGGATAAAACAATTCACACTAAAAATCTCCTGTTTCTATTGTCTCATAGCATTAGGCATGCTTGGGCCAGTGTAAACCACCGTGTAAATTTATAATCAACTATCTCTTTTATTTCTCTAACAAGTTACCATAAAAATAGAAAATAGTTACAAAAAACTCAAAACATGTAAACCTAATTTCATTTGTATTACTATATATAAAAGAAGAAAACCAAAATATTTCCAGGGAAAAAAAAAAGTTCCAAGAGAAAAAAAAAAAAAAAGAAAGAAAAATCTCATAACCACCATGTCTTCAAAATTCTTTTACTTTGCTCTATTTCTTGCTATGATTTCCACAAGTCACCAAGCCTCGGAATTTGTAACCCAATCTTGTGAGAAAACCTTATTTAAAGACCTATGCACAACAGCTTTAGAATCATCTTCGGCTACCGATCTGGAAGGCTTGACAAAAGATGCACTCAACGTGTTATCTACCAATGGAACTGAACTAGTCAAGCTTTCTTCTGAATTGCAGGAAACGGCTTCAGATCCAAACGTTAAGGAAGTGTTGGTAGAATGCTCTAAGGCTTATGTGAAGGGTGGACCGAAAAGCTTCAAGACTCGTTCTGCCCTCGGCTGCCCTCGATTCTAAAGCTTACGGTGATCTTACAAAATGGGTTACTGCTGCCATGACTGGATCGCAGAAGTGCTCGGAAGCTTTCAAGGCTAAACCAGATATTACATCTCCACTTGCTGATGCTAATACAGAATATAGTAAATTCTGCAATATTGTATTCGCAATTTTTAATCTCTTGGCAAAAAGTTAATCAGATTCTCATGTTTATCTCTAAATTTATTTGTTTATGTGTTTCATGAAGTGATAAATGGAAATGGTCCATGATTTTTTATTTATAATTCACATCATTAATATATAGAGCGAGTGATCTTCAAATTTTCCAAAATCTTCAAAAGTTGGTTTCTATAAATTATGAAAGTAAAAGTAAAAGTAATTCACAAGACAATAATGTAAAGGACTTTACTTTTGCTGGTTTTAACACTCTAAGGGAGGGAAGTATTGGAGATAAGAGTTAACAGATATTGATAAAGTTTGTTTTGTTTAGGTTGTTATGGATAGATAATTTCTGTTGTAACTTATTTTGTAACCATATACTATTTAGTATAGGACTCTTCTTGTATTTAAACAGCATACTAATGACAATACGATTATCTCTTCTTTTCTATAGTCTTCTGTATATGGTATCAAAGCACAAAGCTTAAAAGGCTTTTTCCGATCCAATCTTTGATTTTCTTTCAATCTCTTTCCTCTTTACTTTGATATGGCTTCAGGTAGCAGCACTGTTGTTCATTCTTCTGGGCATTCTCTTGTAACAATTAATGGTGCACAGCTGCCTCTAAAACTCACTGCTATGAATTACGCAACTTGGAGGGCTCAAATTGTACCACTGTTGAAAGGACATAGCTTGATGAAATATGTCCTAGGTACGGTACCTGTACCTTCTGCTACTGTTGCTGATTCTGCTACTGTTGCTGATAAGGGAGGTGTACAGATTTCAAATCCAGATTATGAATTTTGGGACTGTCAAGATCAATTGATTCTTGCTGCTATTCGAGCCTCCCTTTCTTTTTCGATCATGAATGATATTGCAGATGTTGATACGTCCGCTGATGCATGGAGAAAGCTACAAATGTCCTATGCCAATAAGTCTGCCACCAGAGTTTTATCTCTGCGAGAGAAACTTGCTAGAATGAAGAGAGAATCTCGTTCTGTTTCTGAATATTCAACAACGATTAAGAGTATTGCAGAAGAGCTGTCGTTGCGCAGGAGTCCAATGAATGATGTAGATCTTGTTGTTCAGGTTCTTGGTGGTGTTGGATCTGAATTCGGTGCAATCGCAGTGGCAATTCATGCTAGAGACACAATCGTTAGTTTTGAAGAACTACAAGATAAGTTATTAGCTTATGAGATGTATTTGAAGCAGGTTACTTCAAATTATGATGTTCTTCCTGTTACTACTAATAATATTCGCAAGACTGCTGCTGGAAGGGGATCTAATTCACAGGGCAATTTTTATCGTTAGTCTGGTGGAAATTCCTCTGGTGAACGTGTTTTAGATGTTAAGACGCAGTCTCAGTTCTCTGGATCTCGTTCTACTGTTCAATGTCAGTTTTGCGATCGGTTTGGGCATGTTGTTAAAGACTGTTTTAAAGCCAAACGATACTTTGCAAATATTGCTAGAAAAGCTCGCTAGAAAAGCTCAAGCTAATGCTACAAGTGTGCAGTCCGTGCAGTCCCAGAATTCCCAGCCATGGTTGCTTGAATTCTGCAACTATCGCATCATGTCACTAATGACTTGAATAACTTATCTCTTCATTCGGCATATGATGGACCAGATGAGCTACAGTTAACTGATGGGTCAGGTTTGTCCATAACTTGAACTGGTTCTGGTATTGTGTCCTTACCATCGAAAAAGTGACTTCTTCAAAATGTCTTATATGTGCCCAAAGCAAAATCTAATCTTATTTTTGTTCCTCAATTCTGTGATTCTAACCAAGTTGCCATTGAATTTTTCTCTCATTTTTATTTTATTAAGGATCAGGTCACGGGGGAGATCCTATACAAAGGCAACCTTGATCAGTCTTTTTATAAGATTCGCAATATGGGCTCTTTTGAAAGTCATCATGTTCGGTTATCTTCTGTGTCATGGCATCAACGGCTTGGACATCCAAGTTCGAAAATTCTTCATTCTGTTTTTGTCTAAACTTAATATTCCTATGACTGTTATTAAGGATAATGTCTGTGATCCTTGTCGTTGTAATAAAAGTCATAGGTTACCTTTTGGATTATCTTCTTTGGTTAGTAGCAAACCATTAGAACTTGTTTATACTGATTTATGGGGACCTGCACCAGAAATTTCTTTGGATGAATTTTGATATTATATTATTTTTGTTGATCACTTCACAAAATATATCTGGCTGTATCCATTAAAAACAAAATCTCAGGTTATCAAAATTTTTCCAATCTTTCAAAAGCTTGTAGTTCAAAAGCTTGTAGAAAACCACCTTTACTCCAAAAAATTCAAACTATTTATTCTGATGGGGGGGGGGGGGAGTATAGTTGCTCTTAAAAAAATTTTCAACAACAGGGGAATTCAATCCACTGCAAACTCCTCCTCGACCCCGAACACCTAACATAATGGTTGCGGCTGAATGTTGTCATCCCATTTAGTTGAAAAGGGCTTTACTTTGTTACAAACAACCTCTTTACACCCATGAGTTTTTGGAGTTTTGCTTTTCATACTGCAGCTTACTTAATAAATCGGTTACCTACATATCTTCTTAAACTAGTCTCTCCCTATGAAAAATTGGTTGGTCAAAATCCTAATTATACCTCTTTACGAGTATTTGGATGTCTTTGTTATCCATGTCTCAGACCATACATAAAAAATAAGTTTGATAATCAATCACTTCCTTGTGTATTTTTAGGATATTCACCAAACAAAAGTGCTTATCTCTGTTGTCATATTGAATCTGGGAAAATTTTTGAGTCTCGACATGTTGAGTTTGTTGAAAATAAGTTTCCCTTTTCTGACAAAAATTTGGCTACAGATTTGTCTGAGACTAGTTGGTATGATTTTGCTACTGAACCAGTTACTTCTATTATTCCTTTTCTTTCGTCGAATATGTCTGTGGATGAGTCTATTTCAAGTTCTACTGCTCCTGTGTCTTTAAGTCCAACACCGATTGAGTCTATGCCTCCTAGTGTATTGAGTCTATGCCTCCTAGTGTCGACATACAGTCATTTTCCAACACCTGTTAATCTTCATCGTATGGTCACACGTTCCAAAAATAATATTTTCAAGTTGAAAGTTGTAAATTCAGTTACCAAGTCCTTTACCTTCATTACCAGAACCTAGTTTACTTAAACAAGCCTTAGCTATTCCTGATTGGCGACAGGCAATGACATCAGAGTTTAATGCATTACTTGATAATAATACTTGGGTGCTTGTTCCATATGATTCTGCTTATAATCTGGTCAGTTCTGCTTATAATCTGGTCAGTCGTAAATGGATTTTCAGGGTGAAGAAAAATGCCGATGGATCTTTGCAGAGATACAAAGCAAGACTAGTTGCTCGGGGTTATAGTCAGCGACCTGGTGTTGATTACAGTGATACATTTAGTCCAGTTGTCGAACCAGTGACAATTCGGTTGGTGCTTACTCTAGCAATTACTAAAGCTTGGCCAATTGTTCAACTGGACGTGAATAATGCATTTTTACATGGTCCTTTGACAGAAGATGTTTATATGCAGCAGCCACCAGGTAGGTTTTAAAGATCCAACAAAACCCACACATGTTTGTAAGTTGATTAAAGCACTTTATGGGTTAAAGCAAGCACCACGTGCTTGGTATCAAGCTTTAAGAGCTTTTACTGTTGCCTATGGTTTTCGATTATCGGCATGTGATCATTCCCTCTTTTATTATATTAAAGATGGTGTATATTGTTATTTTCTTGTCTATGTAGATGACATAGTAATTACTGGAAATAACAATGGGTTTGTTTAGAGTTTTGTGCAAGCACTTGGGAAGCGTTTTTCTCTGAAAGATCCACAACCATTGTCATTATTTCTTGGTATGGATGTGCGACAAATAAATGGAGGGATTTCTTAACTCAACATCACACGCCGCTGGAGTAGAAAAGGCAATCTACTACATTAGCAAGAAACTACTGCCTATAGAGGAGAAGTACAATCTGATAGAGAAAACGTGCATGGTGTGAATACTCAAATTTTGACATTGCTACAGTAAATTTGACTTTTCTATAGTAACTTCCTGGGCAAGGCCTGCCGCCCAGCGCGCGCGGGGCCTGTCACCCCGCGCGGGCGGGGCCTGGCCCCCCACCCCTCTGGGCGACACCTGCCGCCCAGCTTTGGCACTCCTGTCTGTTTTGATAGACGAAACCTTCTCTCTCTCACGCTCTTTGCATCCTTCTTTACCGCTTTTCGCATTTTAATTTAATTTTTATTGCATTTTTATTATGATATTTGACCACTAAAATTAAATAAAATGAGCCAGGCGGCATCACCGCCCAGGCCCTTGGGCGGCACCTGCCGCCGGGACCCGAAAAGGCTAATAAATAGGCCCATTTTCAGCCTATTTCTGGTCGCCTGTCTGTTTTGACGGACGAATCCTTCTCCCTCGTCTACGATCCTTGCGTTTTCTTTTACCGCTTTTTGCATTTCAGATTTAATTTTTATTGCATTTTTATTGTGATATTTGGACATTAAAATTAAACAAAAATTTAAAATTAATTAATATTTCCTAACGAGGAGCTTAATCTGGAGTTAAGAAGCGGTTGTCGATTAAATAAGGTACGTAAACGAAACACTCTGCCTATTTAATTTTAGCACTTCATGCATACTTCTTTCTACTCTTAATAATTCATATAATTGCATAAATGCATTCACCATCATCTTAGACAAATAAAACTTCTAAATTAAATTGATTAAGTTTAAACGTCACGGTAATTAATAACCGTGGCAATTAAAGCGATTAAATCCGGACAATAGTTGCTGAAAGAGGCCTTAGTTAATTAATAACTACGGTTCAACTCGCCTTAATTTTCGAAACAAATC